AACGTTGAATAATACATAACTTTAGACATATCATAAAACCAGAACATTCTCCCGCCTGTTAAGAGACACCTTAACCCTCAGTAGGAAGCTTGCATAATTTAGTAACAGGGCGCTTTATCGACCCATGAGATGTCTTAATTGTTGCTACGCGCACCAAATTGTCTTTGCCCGGGTGCACATCAGTAACTCGACCCATTTGCCAGCACGATAGTGGAGCACGTTCTTCATAAACCAGGACAACTGCTCCAGGCTTTAGATTTTGTTTTTCTTTATACCACTTGGCTCGCTGCTGTAGTGTAGTGAGATATTCACGCTGCAAGCGATGCCAAAATTCTTGTTGCAAACGCGTGAGAAGCTGCCATCGAGAGATTCGATTCATTTGAACGTGTTCGAGCCCAGGTTCAGCTACTTGTACCAGTGGTTGGCCAATTAAAAAATGACCCGGTGTTAAAACATTGATATTGTCAACGTCGTCATCATAAAGAACTGTGAGATGGCCGAGAATTGAGTTGTGCCTCGATTTCACAAAGTAAGGTAGCAAATTCTTCGTAAGTGAGCCTAGTTTCGCCTAAAACACGTCGGAGGTGAAATTTCGTTGCTTTAACTGCGGACTCCCAAATTCCGCCGAAATGTGGTGCACCTGGTGGGATTAGATGCCAGTTGATGAATGAAGTGGCCATATATGACCCGACATCTCGAGATTTGGACATCTGTTTGAAACTCTTCATTAGTTCGCGGTTGGCGCCAATAAAGTTTGTGCCATTATCGCTGTGCATATCGGATGGCAAGCCTCTGCGGGAGACAAATCTTTTTAGAGCTGCTATGAACGCGTCTGTAGTCAGATCTGAGACAACTTCAAGATGCATTGCGCGTGTAGCAAGGCAGACAAAAACAGCGATATAACCTTTGATTGGAGCAGCATTGCGACCTTTGTGAGCCTTCATCAAAAAAGGGCCAGCATAGTCGACGCCAGTGCGAAGAAATGGTCGCGCTTGAGTAACGCGGCTGGGGGGAAGATCAGCCATCTGCTGAGTGCAAGTCACCGCACGGTAGCGGGTGCAAACTACACACTTGTTTATTTGTTGCTTGACTAAACGACGGCAGGAGGTGATCCAAAACTGTTGGCGTAAAATATTGAGTAGTAATGTTGGACCTGCGTGAAGATTTGTTATATGCTGAGAGACAATGATTCGCTGAGCTAGAATGCTGTCCTTTGACACGATGATTGGATGTTTAGTTTCGACGTCACAGTGTGCATTCCTTAGTCTGCCGCCGACTCGGAGAATTGACAGTGAATCGATGAATGGAGAAAGCTTAGCAATTGAACTTTTAGTAGAAAGTTGTTTGTGCCTTGATAGTTGTTGTATCTCTTCGGAATAGTATTGCGCTTGAGACCACCGCACGCAATGCATGAGAGCCTTATAAATTTCTGCTGCAGTATAGCTCTTTGGAAAGGTAGTGTTGCTCTCGCGCCTTCTTTGGATAACACGATTCCATGCCGAAATTGTAAAAAGTACCTTGTTTAGTGTCGAGTAACGAATAAAAAGTAAATTGATGACATCAATCTGCTCAGTGGCCAGGAAGGCGAAGCAAGTATTTTTTCGTTCCTCAGCCGCAACTTGGCTGTTCATATCAGGTGCATTGTGAATGGAGCGCGGCCAGGTTTGCTGTGGCTGAGCAAGCCAAATGGGCCCGCGCCACCAAAGATTGCAATTCAAGAGCGTTTCTGGCTCTAGGCCACGAGTAGCCACATCTGCTGGATTGTCTGCTGATACCACGTGTTGCCATGATGGGCGAGGGATGGATTCGATAATTTCGGCAACCCTGTTGGCAACATATGTTTTCCAGCGCCGTGGATGTGAAGATAGCCAGCCGAGTACAATCATCGAGTCTGTCCAAGCTATGCATTCAACATCGCCGAGCTCCATTGCGCCTTTGACAGCCTTGAAAAGTTTTGCAAGTAACAACGCGCCCGCCAGTTCTAATCTGGGAAGAGACATCTGCTTCAGTGGAGCAACCTTTGTTTTGGCAGTGAGCAGGAACACCTTGGCGCCCTCAGCTGTTGGAATGCGGCAGTATACTGCAGCTGCATAGGCCATCTGTGAAGCATCTGAGAAACCACAAAGCTGGAACTTATCTCTGGGGCTAGTGTGTACCCATCGCGGTATTCGGAGCGAGTTGAAGCAAGCATAGTTCTGCCGAAATGTCAGCCAGCTCTGCGATAACGCAACGGGAATATCTTCATCCCATTGAATATCGTGTAACCAGAGCTGCTGAAACATGGTTTTTAGTAATACTGTACACGGTGACAGAAAGCCAAGTGGGTCGTAGATTTTGGACGACTCCGATAGGATAACTCTTTTGGTGCAGGCATTGACGACTGGCGCGACCTTGAAGGTAAAACAGTCCTTGAGTGGTTGCCAATGCAGGCCCAGAATCTTCAGACTGCTCTCGGTATCAATTTCAGCGATGTCCACATCAGACGTTTGCATATCAACATTTTGAATTATGCTGAGATCATTTGAAACCCATTTTGAGAGCGGGAAACCCCTAATAGCAAGCGTCTTGGTGATGTCTGCTTTTAAGTTGATGCTTCTTCTACGCTGTTTGCGCCTGCAATGAGATCGTCAACATAAAAGTTATTTTTGATCATAAAACCTGTTTGAGGCTCATCAGCATCTTTGCCCGTAGCGTAGAGGCAGCGTGTGGCAAGGAATGGCGCAGTAGCTGTTCCATAGGTGACAGTGCGGAGTCTATAGTGTGATATTGGTTGAGCAGCGCTAGTTCTCCACAGGATGCGTTGATAGTCCCTGTCGTCATGGTGAACAAGGACTTGTCGGTACATTTTGACAATGTCGCCACAGAGGCCGATACGATATCGTCTGAAGTTCAGCAATAACGATGTTAAGTCACGCTGGATGGTAGGGCCCACTGCAAGTAAATCGTTCAGAGCTGCACCTGATGCTGATTTGGCGGATCCATTGAATACCACTCTGCATTTAGTTGATCTGCTATCAGGCTTTAAAACTGGATGGTGTGGTAGATAGAAAACCTTTTCACAGCTCTTGTTGACCTCTGAGGCAGGGATTTTTTCCATATGTCCCAATGCAATGTATTCCTCCATGAAGGCCTTGTATTGATTGAAAAGAGATTCATCGCGTTCAAAGCGCCTTTCAAGACTTGCAAACTGCTTGCGAGCCGAAGTGTAAGAGTCACCTAGGCGCGGTGAATCATCTCGGAAAGGGAGTTTTACAATATACCGAACAGCATCATCGTAGCCATGCGTTTTTTGGAAATGATTTTCGCAAAACTGTTCTTCCGGAGTATAAAATTTTCTCAGCACTTGCGGCTCGTTCTCTGTTTCCCAAAAGCGACGTAATGCTTGATCAATTTTGAAGTCATTAATTGAGGCAGTGACAGAGTATGAACAGATATCCTCCCCGCCGTTATGCACTTTGCCAGCAAGTACATAACCAAATATAGTATTTTGGATGGTTGGAAAGCCTGTTTTGCTGGTAAATTTTCCATCAGTAAGAAAGTCGAAGAAATGTTGTGAGCCAATGAGAACATCTATTGGCTGAGAGATAAGCGAACCGTCGTCTGCCATGTTCAGGTTTGGTGGAAAACCGCAATGAGACGTATTGACCGGATCTGACTTATCTTGGTGTGAAATGCGATTCAGAATAAAAGCATCAATGTTGACTGACACGTTGCTGTCGAAACGTGATGTGAGCTGCAGTGATACGATACCTCTTGTAATAATTGATTTTGCTCCTCCAATTCCACCAACCTTGATGCGCCCGTTTCTACGCGAGAGCCGCAATCGTTGGACTAGATCTTCAGACACAAATGTTCCCATTGATGCTGAGTCCATCAGCACCTTGCAGACCGTCGCTCCGGTGGTATTGGTGTTTGAAGCTTTCACGACCGCTGTAGGAAGCGCAACCCTTTGATTCACCATATTATTGCTTTGTATTGAAAATGTGGATAAGGGAGGCTGACTGTTTGATGTTTCACCTCTAGAGGGGGCATCTATGTGAAGGCATGAATGATGTTGTCGTCCACATAGGTGGCATTTTTGCTTAGAGGTGCAATTGCTGACTCTGTGCTCTCCGGAGAGGCAATTGTAGCACAAGTTATGATTCTTCACGAATTCTCGCTTTTGAGTTACACCCAGCGATTTGAATTTAGGACACTTGTAAAGATGATGCGCACCATCGCAGCTGGCGCACGTTGCAGGTGTGTGATTAGAATCTGTTGCTATGAAACAGCGAGCACGAAAAGAAGTGGAAGCGCCGCTCTTATACGATTGCATGCACTCAAGAGCTGACCATCTTTTGTTTAAAAATTCTATAAATTCTTCGATTTTTGGATGATCCTTGGACCCTTTGTCGCTTTCTGCCCATTGGCGTTTTGTGTCATCATCCAACTTTTTTAATAGCATGTATATTATCCAGGGATCTCGGCTTTCTGCATCTGCTCCTAACGATTTCAGCCCTCTCAAGATGCAGTCTGTGTTATCAGCTAGCGTGCGGATTGCCACAGCTGACGGCTCAACTACGCTTTTGAGCTCGAAAAAAGATTTTATGTAGGAGATGATTATGGGTTTTTGCTTGTCATACCTCTCGCATAGCTTGCTCCAAGCTCTGTCGTATGCTTCATTTGAGCAAACAATACCCGAAATCACCGTTTCAGCGTCGCCTTTCAGATACATTTGCAGGTACTGGAATTTTCGAGATTTAGATATTGTATTTACGTTGTGTACAGTGTTTAAAAACAGATCTTTAAAAGTTGGCCACTTGCAGTACTCCCCATGGAAGGCAGGAATGTCGAACTTTGGTAAACGCGTATCGCAGCTGCGAGCTTGGTCAAGCATACTGCGCTGAGTTTCTGTGAATCGGTTGAGGGTTGTATTTAGATCTTCCACTCCAGTACTTGAGATGATAGCTGATGGGGTGGAGCGAGTGGCTAGCAGTACGAGAAAGCGTTCTTTGAGGTCCAGATAGACATCTTCCTGCGAAGAATATTCGGACACTTGGTCATCATGCGATGCGATTTTTTTGTCGACATCTACAAATTCTTCCCATAAGGCGTCAAGCCGGTCGCACCGGATCTTCAGCGCCTCATAACTTGTAGACTCAGTTGCTGCTAAAACATAACTTCTATATTTTGTGAAAGAACCTTTTATTTGCCCGCGCGTACGAATGAAATTTGTGACTTCCATTAATTTGCGTTTGGTTTTGTTTAATATGTGAATTTTCGCCAAAGGCCTTTTGACAGATAAATTATGTGAGAGCGCTCTGAGACAACAGTTAGGCTGCGCTTCTTTTCCTCCGTTTGATTATAAGTGCAAGACGAATTGTTGTTTCTCAAATTATCGCTCACAGTAACAACGGCATTTACTTACGTATGTACATACATGAGTGAACGTCAGATAAATAGGAATAGCTTTTGAGTTTTTGTTTTGCCTTTTGAGTGCTTTCTTTTTTATGTGTTATTTTTTCCGGGAGGCGAATTAAGAGTGAATTGAGGTAAACCGCAGACTGAGGATAACTGTTCAGGCTACACACAATGGAGCTTTTCGCTAGGTTGGGATGTTTTTTTTTTTTTTTTTTTTTTTTTTT